AAAATACATGTGTGTAATATATATAATTATATATAATATATGTAATATATTATTTTCCAGCTTTATTAAGATATAGTTGACATATAACATTGTGTAAGTTTAAAGTGTACAGCATGTTGATTTGATACACTTATATATTTCAAAATGATCACCAACATAGCATTATCTAACATCTTCATCACATCACATAATTATCATTTCTTTTCTGTGGTGAGAACATTTAAGATCTACTCTCTCAGCAATTTTCAAGTATATAATACAGTATTATTAGCTATAATCACCATGCTGTACATTAGATTCCCAGAATCTATCCATCTTATAACTGGAAGTTTGTACTCTTTGCCCAACATCTCCCATTTTTCCCAGCCTCCAGCCCTGTAACCACCACTCTGCTCTCTGTTTCTGTCACCCTTTTTAGATTCCATGTATAAGCAATGTCATGCAGTATTTGTCTCTTTCCGTCTAACTTATTTCACTTATCATGATGCCTCAAGTGTCATCCAAGTTGTCACCCATGGCAGAATTTCCTGCTTTCTCATGGCTGAATATATTGCATTGTATGTATACCACATCTTCTTTATCTATTCATCCATTGATGAATGGGTGAATAGATCCTTCTTTTCTTTTTTCTGTAAATTATTTTGTATTTGAAAGTAGAAATAGATTACATCTTTCAGGAAAAAAATTCTGTTTGCAAAAGGGGAGGGAGGAGTGAGAGGAGGAGTCGTCTCTGCAGAAGCCCAAGTCCCCATAGAGCAGACCACGGCAAGGGGCAGGCAAAGGGAGGACACCAGGACTCCCTGGCTTGGCCACCAGAGGCAGGGAGGAGCCCAGGATAACCTGTTCTTTCTTTCCTTCCCTCTCCACACCCAGCTCTCCAGAGAAGTCTGCGCCAGACTTAGAGCTCACCGCTCTGGCCAGAGTCATGGCAACCCAGGCCCTGCTGCCCCTCTTGCTTCTCTGTGTGCTGCTGCTGCAGGCCCAGGGAGGGCTCTATAACCGGAAGGAGATGCAGAGTAGGTGACGGACTAGGGGACGGGGATGGGGAGCGGGCAGGAGGGGCCGTGTCCGGTCTAAGGAGGAGCTGGGAATTGGAACCTTTCAGCATATCCTGCTCTGACCACAGCACTGTGAGCACTCTGGGTCCTCCCGAGCTATGGCCTCCAGCCCCTTCCCTCAGCCCTGGGAATAGTGATGGTGGTGGAGGGGGAACCTGCATCTTGTTATTCTCCATTCCCCAAATCCAAAGACAAATGGTACATACAATAGTGAAAGGTACAGGTGAGCTGAGAGTCAGATGGGAAAACAAAACAACTATTCTTGGATTCATGTGTATATGCAACAAGTAAGCATTCAGAGATGTTTATGGGGGTAGGTTAGAATGGAAGATTGTTGGGAAAGCAAATTTGGGGTGTTCAGGGTCAAGTTAAAGTTAGCATTAGAGGGACCATGATGGTGACTGTGGAAGGGAAATATTGAAAGTGGTATTTTCTGGGAAGGGGCAGGGGTACTGGAGACAGTGACAGTGATGAGAAGAGGTAAGGTCTCTTCCTCTCTGGACCCTGCACATTCTGGAGACTGGGGGAGGGTTTGCAGGATGTCTCAGACTTTGTCGAGTTCTCAGGGTCAGAGTGTAGATTCTATGGGGCTGACTTCACCAAGGCCATGACTAATATGAGAGGTAGGATCCTGGTGCAGGAGGATGGAAAGGGTCCAGGAAGCCCAGGCATTGAGGTCTGTTGGGAGAGAACGGGGGGAATAGGATTGAAGATACTACCAATCACCAGGATTTGCTGAGGGGCGGAAAGTGAGTTCCCTGAAAAGTCCAAGAGTGTCATGAGTGGGACCTGGGTTCTGGGGTCTTGGAGGAGGCTTTAAGCTCAAGAGGTGCTCTCTAGGGGCCTGGTTCCACTGACCTTGCTCCTGCTCTGTTTCAGAAACAACGCTACCCAGAGAAATCAAGGCCTGTGAGAAGCTCACCAACATATATATGTGCAGACGCCCATGTGCATATCACCAAGAGTGTCAAGCAAATAACATATGCTGTACAACCTTCTGTGGGAACGTTTGCATGAGCCTCGAGTGAGTGGGACAGTGGGCTGGGCCAAGCCTCCTGCTCCCGCAACTCTCTATCAGAGACTGTGCCTGAGACCGAAGCACAAGGATGTCAACAGGAATGCCTCCTTCCCCACTGTCTGAACTACTTGTTCCTGTCAAATAAACCAGAACAAATGCCTAGGGACCTGCCTGTTTTATTCCCAGTGCTTATGATCATTGAGAACTCAGTGCAGACCCCAGGGTGCCCCCGCCTTTCTGGGTCCTGGTCTCTGATCTCTCTCCCCTTGTCATGCTTCTCTCCTGTCTCTCCCTTTGGCCCACACACCCTGGCCAGGCCCCTGGAGGCTCCATCCCCTTGTTGCTCTGCTCACTGAACCAGTACTCCCAGGGGGAGAATGTGCTCATGTGTGGCATGTCTCGATGCTAAGAGAACATTCCTTACCCTGGAGTCAGAAGGGCCGAGATAAGCATGAGCTAGGTGGAGGATAGACCCTGGGTCACAGAGTAGGAGGCCCCCAAGGGCTGCATTCATGTTTCCAGCCTTGGCCCGTGCCACTCCTTCTCCTTCTGAGGTTCAGATTACTGTCTCTTTACAATGAAGAAAATGAATCCCAGGGAATTTAAGTGACATGCCCAAGGCCAAAATAGAGTGAGAGGTCGTGATGCTGCTGGAGGAGGACATTTCCTCTGGACTCCCTGCTTGCTCACTTCTTCTCCATTATGGTGAGACCACAGGCATGGTAGTGAGAACTATGCTAACCCCAAACGTCCTCCACTCCCTCCTCTACCAACATGGTCGCTCTTATGATTGGGCCTGGAATGGAGTGCAGGGTCTGAGACTCCACTGTGTTCCATTAACTGAGTGGTCTCTACCGTTCCCAAACCCTCCTTCTTGTGGCCTCATCCTTGTTTTTTCAATCCAGAGGGAAGTCATGGGGTGGGGAACAGGTGGTTCATGGTGATGCTGCTAAGGATTAATTGGCACAGGAGGCTATGGATCTTGCCCATGGTCTCATGGTGAGTCAGTGGAAACTGATCATTAGGGTACTGATTCCCTACTACTCTGTGCAATCACAAGTCCTGTGAAGTGGTCCTGGGACTAGATCCAGGGACTGGGTCACATGTGGCCAATGAGGACATGGAGTCAAGCATGAAGAACTCGGGTAGACAGGCCATGCCGGAGGCAGGCGTGCAGTCTTACACTCCAGTCCAGTGCTTGCTGCTGGGCGTCAGTGAAGGAGACATCAGAGGAGGAAACCTGACTCCACCAGGTCAGAGCCTCTGGCCCACCTCAGAAGCATCACAGGGCTCCTGGTATTGGGGGATCTTCTCCACTTCTGCTAAGAGCTGCCCTTGGACAAGGGGGCCTTAGGAAGGAGAGCATGATCAACCACCAACAAGACATCATCAGAGGTAAGTGGGTGGTCAGGGCGTGCTCTACAGGAGCTCTTACTTGGTGCTTCCTCAGATAGCCTCATTCTCCAAGCGTCTTCCCAGTGCTTGGCCATGGCCCAAATACCCTAGGAGAGACTATTAAGAAAAGTAAAGGTCCCTCCAGGGGCCACATGGGGAATGACCTCCCATGTCCAAGTCCAGTTCTCCCTACCAAATGGGTACACCATGGTTGCCACACTGACCTATTCCTTGCCACTGGCATGAGCACTATGGGCCATGAATTTTGCTGGAAGCAATTGCTCTTTTCCTTTGTGATAACTGTTATTTTGGCCTGTGTCCAGAGAGCTGTCTGGACACTGCACTGCGCCCCAGGGAACTCAGAGGCTACACCTAGAATGCTATGGCTGGAAGGAGTGCTTGCCTAGACACAACTGCATGTTCTGTCTTATTGGAACAACTGTGTGCCTCCATATTAGGTAAAGTAGAGGAGTAGGAAACCCTGGAAGACTTTAAATCTCTTGGAAGGAGAGTAAGAAGCGAATGCAAATTCTGCCATGATCTGGGTCTCCAGAATGTCAAGTCTCAGCCTGCAAAGAATTACAGATAAGTGCTGGTCTGTTTGAAACCAAACACACAACCTTATGGTTACCATGCTTTGCATGATTTGTTCTCTTCTCTTGCTCCAGACCTGCTTCTAACAAATTCTTTCTCCTCATTCCTATCAACTAAGATAATCAGAAGTAGCTTTCTCGGGCCAGCCCCATGGCTTAGCGGTTGAGTGCGCGCACTCTGCTGCTGGCGGCCCGAGTTGGGATCCCAGGCGAGCACTGATGCACCGCTTCTCTAGCCATGCTGAGGCCGCGTCCCACATACAGCAACTGGAAGGATGTGCAACTATGACATACAACTATCTACTGGGGCTTTGGGGAAAACAAAAAAGGGAGGAGGATTGGCAATAGATGTTAGCTCAGAGCTGGGTTTCCTCAGCAAAAAGAGGAGGATTAGCACAGATGTTAGCTGAGGGCTGATCTTCCTCACATACTTAAAAAAATAATAATAAAGGAAGTAGCTTTCTCGCATGTATAGACTCAGAAATGTGCTTTCACTGTCTTTCCTCAGGGCTAAGTCATCTCTTTGGCCCTTTGACATAGTAGAGTCTGAAGAGACTTTGATCATTTGGTATCCCACAGAACATACGGTCGGTCCATCACATTGATTACATTATGCTAACTGGCCATAGGGAACAGAAATAGCGGTATCCTAGGTGCTTTACCACGTGCCTGCCAGAGAATGAGAGATACACCTGATAATAGTCCAGGACTTGCCATATTGGTGAAATCTCCAGAGATCCAGTGGTCTGGGGCATATAGGGATAGTTCCTCTGAGGCAGGAGACAAGATGCTGCACCATGTACTACCCACCATGAAGAAAGACACAATGTTTGGTGGGCCTCTTTGGATTTTGGAAACAAGAAAGGCCACATTTGGGCATTCTCCTCTTATCTATTTCCTGGGGGAATGTTAGGAATTAAGAAAAGATTCTGCAACAGGTCCAGGATGTGTTGAAAGTTGCCTGCCACTTGGGTCTCAGCACCTAGCATATACATTATGTTAAAAACGTCTGTGGCAGATTAAGACGCTGGATAGAACATTTGCAAGTCCAAGTAGGAGAATTACAGATCACACACATGGGGTAGTGAGATTTCCTTTTTCTGTTGACTGGTGCTCCCATTTGAGAAGCAGCTCCTTACTTGCTAGAGGACCATCATCAAGACTGAATGCCTGACCACGAGACATCAAGTCACTCTACAACTGGAACTTTCCATCCCAAATTGGGAGTTATCTGATCTATGAAGTCTTAAAACGGGATGTGCATGGAGGCAGTCCGTTGTCAAATGGAAGTGGTATAAATGAGACAGAGCTTGATCAGTTCCAGAGGAAATGAGTAACCTGTATCATCAGGTGTTTGGGCTCCAAGGGCCCACTGATTTCCCTCCTGTTTCATTCTTGCCCGTTGCCACTGAGACTCCAAGAGGTGCTTCCCTTTCCACATCAGCATTCACTCCCTAAGAAGTGGCATCTTCCCATGGCTGCCCGTTTGAGTCCCTTGTACTTTCAAACCTCTTCTTTTTGATTTCTCAGGAACCAGGGATCCGATCTACCAGGTATCAGCCTTGTTCTCAGTATTCCTCCATTCACATTGGAACTTGCGTTTTCTGAGGGTGATTTTAACTGTGTTCTATGCTAAGCCCCCTGCTCCTATCTTCTCGTTTCCATGCAGTCTCTGCAGTCTATGTATGTCTCTGCCTAAACATGGACTCCAGCACTACGTTTGCTGGATTTGGGTGTTTATTTCTCTGCTAACAGATCATTTGAAATTTGCAGCATTCTGTATTTCCTTATTTGGCTGAGGGTATGGGTGATGGATTGATTTATTTGCTCTCCTTGTTGATCTGTATGGCTTTTTTGACGAGAGCTAAATTGAGGCAGCCACGATTACATTATGCAGATTGTTTTTTTCTTTACTTGCTTTTAAGAACTTCAAGAAATTTTTGGCAATTCTGTCTTGGTTTTAACATTCTAATTAAAAACCGAAGATTTTCAGAGATGGTTTTTATAGAAAAGGTGATAATTTCATGCAATTATGGGTTTCACCATTTAAATATTTTATACTTCTTTGTTGGTTCCTGTTTGGGTTTCCTAGGGCTGCCATAACAAAGTGCCACAAACTAGATGGCTTAAAACAATAGAAATTTATTTTCTCATAATTTGGGTGGCCAGAAGTATAAAATCAACGTGTTGGCAGAGCCATGTTCCACCTGAAGGCTCTAAGGGAGATTCTATTCTGTGTTTCTCTTTCAGCTTCCAGTGGTTGCCAAGTCTCTAGCATTCCTTGGCTTGTAGAGGCATAACTCCAATCCTTGCCTGTCTCTTCACACGGCATTCTTTCATGTGTTCATGTCTCTGTGTCTATGTCCAAATTTCCCTGTTCTTACAAGGACACCAGTCGTTGGATTACGGCCCACCCTAATCTAGTATGACCTCATCTTAAATTGATAACTTCTTCAAAGACCCTATTTCCAAATAAGGTCACAATCACAGATACTGCGGATAAGGACTTAAACGTATCTTTTTGTTTCTACCTACAACAGTTCTTTTATCTTTTTGCTTGGTCCAAGGAGAAGGGAGAAGATACGGGGGAGAGAAGAGAGTAGACAAAATATTTGAAAGTAAAATGACATCTCTCCCCATAGTCAGCTGTCACAATAGATACCAAAATAATATTAAAACAAATCAAAGAATTACATGTAAAAATATCAAAATAGAGAAGCCTAGAAAAAATTTGAATGAATGGTCATCAGAGTTTGGAAAAAGAAAAACATGTCTGTCTAACCTTGATAAAAATAATAATGATGGCCATCATTTATTCAGAACTGACTCTGTGCCAGGCACAGTGTTAAGCACTATTTTGAATCTCTAATACAGTGTGCTTCAAATTTAGCTTGCAAATGGCACTCTCCGGTCTGGTTCCAGATGCTTGAGTAGCAGGGAGTCCAGTCCACACCTCTGCAAGGTCTCAATTTCTTCCTTCTTACTCTCACCCATTTCGGTACCCACATTTAGCCCTCTGGCCTCATCTGTTCCTATTATGACTTTATTTTTGTTTCAAGAGCTTCCTTTCCCTTTCTTCCCACTTAGCATTGGATCATGCATGAATATGGACTCCAGAGCTACCCTGGATAGGGGTTCCTAACTCAAAATATCAGGAAGAAATGGCTTGGGA